TGAATATCTCAATTTAAATCTCAATTTAATAAATCAGTCCAAGAGGGCAAAGTAGGTAAGAATGCCAAGTTCTGCTGGAAATTTCATGATGCCCATTCTCCCCTTCCCATTATCATCTCCATTTGAACACATTCTTTTAACCGTTTCCAAATTTCAGAGCCCATCTTCAGGTCAAAACATGACTAGCCATCTTCCCTCTCCCTTTAGCACATATAAGGAGCTTTGGATATGCTATCTATCCTACTAACTCCTTTTTTTTTTTTTTTTAATTTTATTTATTTATTTTTCCCCCAAAGCCCCAGTAGATAGTTGTATGTCATAGTTGCACATCCTTCTAGTTGCTGTATGTGGGACGCGGCCTCAGCATGGCCGGACAAGCAGTGCATCGGTGCTCGCCCGGGATCCGAACCCGGGCCGCCAGCAGCGGAGCACGTGCACATAACCGCTAAGCCACGGGGCCGGCCCTAACTCCTTTAATTTATAAAGGTACATGTATTCAGTTATGACTTCATATCTACTTGATTCTACCTCTGGATTTTTAGCCATGTCCTGGGTTTATTTCTTATCTCCTCAGAGAGCTCCTAAAAATGGTAACTTTATCCCATTATTCCTTCTTTCCTCCCACAGTGTCTCCAGCAAGGTTTTGTGTACAGGAATGTGCTCAGAACTTAGTTTTAAAACCATCTTTCCAAATGCCTGGGAACCAGGTTTAGTGTCAGGCCCTCTATTGTGGAAATGGAAATACAGCTGGTTCTGGGATGTGCCAGAGCTGTCTAGACAGAGACTGCGCTCAGAAAGATTCAAGTAACTCCAGCCCTATCCTTTCTGCACTGCCAGATTACCCTCCAGGAAACAGAGCCCCAGGGCTTGCAAAAATCTTCCTCTCCCAAGAATTTGAATGGTATGGGGAATATCTGCAACCCAAAGTTTTCTGGAGAAGGTATCTACTCTTTTCTCTCTTATATGTAGTTACTTCAGAGAGCAAAATCCCAACTGGCTCTGTAGACCTACAAGAGTAGGTGATGGAGGGCAAGGCTTTGGGGCAAGGTGCCTTCTCAGAACCAACCAGGAACCCTAGGGAGGCCAAGACATTGGGGTCAGGCAGACCACTGTGGCTCTTTCCAGAAAGGCAAGATACTCCTACACACACACACACACACACACACACTGTCCAAATGTCCAGTGCCTTTTCGGGACAACTTGATTTCAGAGCCTTGCACCAAGACTGCTCTTCTGACCAACAGTACCCACTACTGCTTCTTCCTAGAGAACAGAGTACAATAATGATAGTAGCTGGCATGCTGCTATGTGTCAGGCTGTTTCATACCTTAATCCTCACGGCAATACATATTATCATCTTTGTTTTGCATGTGAAGAGACTGAGGCTTAGAGCAGCTAAATAACCTAATAACCGAGGTTATACAACTACTTACGTGCCCCAGGAAGTGGAACGGGTCTGACTCCAAGGCCCCTGACGTTTACACTACAGTAGCTGTTTTTTTTTTTGCCTTTTGTGAATATGAGCTTTATTTATTGATTTTTTCCCCCCCAAAGCCCCAGTAGATAGTTGTATGTCATAGCTGCACAATCTTCTAGTTGCTGTATGTGGGACGTGGCCTCAGCATGGCCGGAGAAGTGGTGCATCGGTGCGCGCCCGGGATCCGAACCTGGGCCGCCAGCAGCGGAGCGCGCGCACTCAACTGCTAAGTCACGGGGCCGGCCCTACAGTAGCTGTTTTCAAACTATGTTCAGAGGATTCCCCAGAAGCTGCCATGGGGCAGGAACCCAGTGGTCAGGGTTCCCCTGTTTCTACACATGTTGGCAAAAATAGTCACACATGTGTCTGTTTTGTATATTGGAGTTTCATGAGTTAAAAATAAGTTTGAAAAGAACCACATTATGCTATGCTGCCCTGCTCCTATCTTGGACTTTCTAAGAATTAAGAAAGTCTTCTTACCCTACTCTCAATCTAACGCTACCCCAGGGCTTGGCCAAAAGGAGTTGTCTTAAATGAGAAAAGACTGTGTAGTGGACCAATTTCCTGGCTAGTTTACCAAGTTAAGGTTTCCTTAACCTGATTACATCCTTTGTTCCTTTTCAATTCTTCACCCTGTTCACAGGGTCTACCCCACTCCCCATCCCTGCTTTGTGTGTGGTGTGAGGAAGGCAGGATTCTGCAGAGTAGAGCCCCCTCCTCTCAGAACCCCCCCACTCCCCAGCCCTACCTGCCCACTGAGTCAGGAGCCAGGAATGTCTGTGGGGGCAGCAGACAGGTAAGTCACCCTGGGGGTGTCAGAGGCTGATTCATCGCTCATCTCCACCCAGTCTTCTCCTCATTGCTCTCTGGGATATTGAACTCTTTCTTTGTCTAGAGATGAGAGGAAAATCTCAGACTGAAAGCATGGAGTCTTCAATCTGTGGCTAGGTATAGTATTTAATACATCACATGATGGTATTCAATAAATATTTGTTGAAAGAGAAAGAAGGAAGGAAGGAAAGGAGGAAGACATATTTTCCCCCTTTCTTCCTCCAGAAGAAAGTTAACCTGAAATTTCCTTGTCTGACTGTAGAGGGGACTGATTTTGAGCGCAGAATAAATTATGTGACCACTGGTATGACTTACGTGTTGGGAGAAATCTTATCCATGTCCCAATATCCCTTCTTTGCTGTTTCTGTTATTCCACAAAACAATGTGGAGACTCCAGAATTAATATATAGGAAGAGGCGACAGTCCAGTGTGAAAGGGAGCTGTATTTGCACAGCAAACAGACTGCTTGAGATTTTCTGTTTATTTGGGATGGCTTTGAAGGGCCCTCTCATCTCCCTCCTTTGCAATTGCTTCAGGGTTTTGGATGGGGAGAAAAAAATTAAAACTTTGTTATGTATTCTAGTCCAGAGCATTTTACCAGTACCCATCTTTTTTCACCTCAGTTGCACCCAAGTCCATCCTCTCAGTCTTAAGCCACTTGGACACCTGGGCTTTTGGGGCTGTCCGAGTTGGCTCCCTGGCTGGAAATGGAGGACACAGTGGGTTGGAAATGAGATATATGGCTTCCCCTATCCTTAGCAGGCCTGATGCCATTGAAATAATGTGCTAATCTGGGACTCTTCCTTCTAAAGGGGGCAGGAAGAGGAGATGGGCAGCCTAGACTAGGCTGGGTAAGGGCTCCACAGACAGGGGCAAGAGAGAAGAAAAGGGAAGGAAAAGGAGGGGGCTACTCAGTTTGCTATAGAATCTCCCTTCAGAAGTCTGGGGCAGTTGGGCCTCCCTGCTGCTTTCACAAACAGGATGGGCCTCCGTGGCTTAGCGGTTAAGTGCGCGCGCTCCGCTACTGGCGGCCCGGGTTTGGATCCCGGGCGCGCACCCACGCACCGCTTGTCCGGCCACGCTGAGGCTGCGTCCCACATACAGCAACTAGAAGGATGTGCAACTATGACATACAACTATCTACTGGGGCTTTGAGGAAAAATAAAAAGGAGGAGGATTGGCAATAGATGTTAGCTCAGAGCCGGTCTTCCTGAGCAAAAAAAAAAAGAGGATTAGCACAGATGTTAGCTCAGGGCTAATCTTCCTCACACACACACACAAAACCAGGGTGGGCCTTAGCAGTGCTGGGATGTGTCACTCCCCTCCCCCTCTCAGGAGCCTTGAGACAGGGCAGAGAATCTCTAAGATCGACTTTCCTACAGACCTTAATGGGATCAGGCTTTCTATTCCCAGCCAACCATGGGTGAGCATTTTGCTAATTTAGAAACAGCTGAGAGCAGACTGGCTGTGCTTCAGCTCTATGGGCTTTAGGGTGTCACTCTCACTCCTAAGCCTCCTTGTCTGGGCTGGAAGCCTTTCCAGTTAGCTGTGGGCTCTGATATGTTCCAAACACTCTCCTCCAATTGTTGGGGACCCCCAATTCAGAGCCAGGAAATGCATATATCCTAATGTCAGTGGCTAGCAGAGATGACCAAGAAGGTCCCTTTTAAGGCACTCCGAGATGGTTTCTTCCCTCTAGAAGTTGTTCACGATTGCCAAGTGAAGTCTGGAGGTGAGATAAGCACTTTCAGGCAGTGTCCATGAGATGGAAAGTGACACTTTTCTGGAAGGCATTTTGGCAATATGAATCCAGAACCTGGAAAACATTGGCTATTTCATTCCTAGGATTTTATCATAAAGGTTAGAAAGTCAGGGGGCTGGGTGGCCCGGTGGCTCAGTGGTTAAGTGCGTGTGTTCTGCTTCGGCGGCCCGGGGTTCGCAGGTTTGGATCCCAGGCGCGCACCGACACACCACTTGTCAAGCTATGCTGTGGCGGCGTCCCATATAAAGTAGAGGAAGATGGGCACGGATGTTAGCCTAGGGCCAGTCTTCCTCGGCAAAAAGAGGAGGATTTACATGGATGTTAGCTCAGGGCTGATCTTCCTCACACACACAAAAAAGTTAGAAACTCAAAGACTTGTATACAAAGATGTTATCACAGCACTATTTACAAGAGTAAAAAACTAGTAATGTTTTTTAAACTTATAGGCTAACCATAGGAGTCTAGGTAAACAATGTTATAGCTGTATCATGTAGACATTAAAAAGGTTTTTATATTTTTAATTACAGGAAACTGTGTGAACTGAAAAAAAGCAGGTTACAAAGCACTTACAACATATCCCACTTAAAAAAACCAAATCTTAAGGATGGTTGCCATATGCCAGCCACACTGGAGGATGGCCTTTCTCTCACCCTACACATTTCACACTGAGCAGACCTCACCTGGAACACAGACATCTCTTCCTTTCTGCATTGTGCTGTCCCCTCCCCAGTGTGACAGGAGAACAGAAAGTCATTTTGCTATCAGCGAGAGGTGGACAGAAGCTACATTTACCGGAAGAGAAAACAACCCTGCTGTCACACCAAGGCCTGAAAGTAAAGTTCTGGACTATTTCCATCCTTCTCCACTCCATGATGGCAGAGAATAAATACTGAGGTGCTTGCATACGAGGCCATAAAGTTCTCAATGACGCCTTCCTTCCAACTGGTTTGCTTTGGTGAGAGCTGAGGCCTCTGTGATGGCGTTAGCATCAAACTCATGACCACAGCTCTTGGTACTATTTTCAAAAACACACCACTCACCTTCATGCCCTAACTGATGAGGGATTTGTCCAGCAGCCTGGGTGTCAGGATTCCTGGGCTCCAGGCCCCACAGGTGACTCAGGCAGCCCCAGGCTGTGCCTCCTGGCCTCAGTTTCCCTGGCTTGCTCTGTTGATACTCTCCACCTACTGTGCAGGGTGTTAATAGGGGTGAGGTTGTTTGAACTCTTTAGATGAAAGAGGCTGAAGAAACAGCACCCAGTTATTATCCCCTCTATGGCCAAGCGTGGGAGCGGAGGTTGGCTGCTTTCATACTGTTGCAGCCACAGGAGCCTCCTTACAGCCCCTCACTCTTCCTGCTTCTGCTCTGGCTGCCAAAACTGGAAAGCAAACCTCAGTCACCCCCATCTCAATGCCACTTCAGAACAGATTTTCCTAAAATGAATTCTCCAACTGCCCAAACCACCAGTGACCTACCTGCCCTTGATTTATGATTCAGTAGTACTCGACAGGTGTCTAAATTCTTTCTTCTGATTGGCTATAAATCCTGTGGGAGAAGGGCCGGGACTTTTCACCATTAAGTATTCATCATTAATAAGTCAGCCAAGTGGACTATGAGAGAGTCAGGCTGACCGAAGTTCCAACTCTTCATCTTTCTGTCTCCTCATGTAAAGCGGGGCTTGGTAATCTTCCCCATCTTGTCTGCATCTCTAGGAGTTGCTGTCAGAACCACGAGGACCATGTGTGTGGAAGCACTTTGTAAAATGCCAAGCCCTTTGCGTGTGTTAACAGGACCCAGTGTCTGCAAATCAGCCTTGTGGCACAACTGCCACCTGTCCCCTTCTGCCTCTAGGTTACAACTGCCAACAAATAAGCCTGAGACGCCACCTACTGGTTGAAAATACAAATTACATCCAACCAGTTGCAAGAAGAGCATAGGAAGCGTACACCAGTCAGCATTTGCCATCTTCAAGCCATCTGGATTTTTGCCACACCCCCTCATGATGTCATATTATATGCTTAATATTTTTCTTTAAACAACTCACTTTGTATAAATGACTTCATTTTTCAAGTAAACTCAATCACTACTATAAATGGAAAATAAATTAACAGTTGCCAAAAGTAGAATAAATCTGTGAAATAAATACATGAAAATAAAATGTTATTAAGATCTAGCTGGGAAGTAGTGCCTGTGAAAACTCAAGCTTGAGGTTTACCGTTAAAACTGAAGATTAACAAAAGCACACGAGTGGAACTGAGCATGGTCCTCTAGTATGATCCTGTGCTTTGGGGGAAACACTGCCCAGTCTGAAGAAATAGGATTCTTCTGAAGGAAGGTGACATTTCCTTGTTCTGCCCCAACTCCCTGGCCTGGATGGTTGAAGAAAGTTTGGAAGCCACAAAAAGTAGAAAATAGACTCTTGTATTATAGCACATTCCATCATAACCCGAGTGGGGCCAGTGCTGAATTCCTGGCAGTAGCACCCAGAGCTCATGAGCACTGAGGGTGTAGAGGGTGCTCTGCTTGGTGCCATGTCTGGCTTTTGGCCAGAAATCCTTTGTAGGGCTGAGAGTCCCCTCGCCAGCCGCCCAATTCTGGCTGGGAGGGCTGCTCTTGGATCTGCAGCCTGCTGAGCTGTCTGCTGCTCACTGGGAGCTGCCACTTTCCCCAGGGCCGGGTTATGCGTCTGTTCTCCAGAGCCCAGCTTGTTGCTACAGCTGCATGGCTTCCTGCTCCACTGATTGGTCTGAGGGTGCCAGGTACTTCTCCTGGATGCCGAGGGTGCTGAGTAAGGATGTGTCAAGGTTGATAACATAGCAAGGACGGGGAACTGGTTTGGGCAGGATCTAACCTCTACTGATGCCCCGCCCCACCTCCAACCATGTCTGGTAGATTCCTTCCATCTCTCTCCCTTCTTCATAATTACAGCTTCAGGCAGTAGGGACCAATTGAGTCCGAGAAGCCCCTCAGAGCATCCAGACCCAAATGCTCCTATATTCGCCTGTTTCCCACAATGCTGAGGATCAAAAGACCAGAGAGTGCTCTGTATTATGGCACATAACCGTGTGGATTTAAATCCTGATTTTTCCGCTTCCTTTTCCTCATCTGTAAAATAAGAGTTGTGAGGATCAAATGAGACAATACAAAGTGCCTAGCGTAGCACCTGGCACACACTAGGTGCTTAATAAATGTTTGTGATCTCTTTTCTTCCGCCCAGGGAGGGAAATCATGAGAGCTCAAAGAAAGTGACAAATTTCTGCATGGGCCATAGGGTGCCTTCTACTTCTCTTGGGACAGCAAGAAAGAGGAGCAAGAAGGACAGAAATCAGATTCACAAAGGAAAAGCCTGTGACAACTGATGGAGCCCTGTGTGGCTGGCTGGCCTGAGGTCTGGGTGTGGGGTCTGACTAGGAGATGGGGGTTACCATCGCTAGGCTGGCCACCATGGCTGTTCTACTAGATCATTCCAGTGTCAGAAATTGAGATTCTACAACCAGGGAGACGAAGGTTTGAACTGATCTTCCAACACATCCTGGGAGAGGGACCTTGGACTTGTCACTCTCGGAGCCCCAAATGCCTCATCTATAAAAGGGGACTGAATGAGGATTAAATGACATCCTGCAAGTAGAGTATATAACCCACCAAATGATGTTCAGGTTACAGACCTTTCTCTACCATCTCTTATGGATCCATCCATCAAAATCCATCTCACTCCTACTCAAACTGACTCTGAACCTGTGCTTCCTTCCCTTCACCTTTCCTCAGGAGGTAATGCTCCTGTGCAAGGCGGCCCTGAAGATCAGTGGAATCCATCCTGCTTGACTTGCAGTAATCTCAAACCTACCTTGTCTCTCGCCTGAAGCCTGCATTCCTGAGCAGGGCACACGAAACCCTGCATTTTATCTGCCCATCTGTCTGGCCCTATTGCTGCTCCCCAGCCAGATGCCCTGTCCTGCCCACAAGTCATGCCATTCTACTTGCAACCCCTCAGACAAGTCTTAACCTTGAACCCCCTCACCTTTGTATATACTGTTGTTTTTGTCTTGAATTCCCTTTCCCTTTTTTTTTTTTTGTGAGGAAGATCAGCCCTGAGCTAACATCCATGCTAATCCTCCTTTTTGCTGAGGGAGACCGGCTCTGAGCTAACATCTATTGCCAATCCTCCTCCTTTTTTTTTTCCCCCAAAGCCCCAGTAGATAGTTGTATGTCATAGTTGCACATCCTTCTAGTTGCTGTATGTGGGACACGGCCTCAGCATGGCCGGAGAAGAGATGCGTCTGTGAGCGCCCAGGATCTGCACCCAGGCAGCCAGTAGCGGAGCGCGTGCACTCAACTGCTAAGCCATGGGGCCAGCCCCTTTCCCTCTTAATCAGCCTGACTAACCCCCCTTTAAGAGGGTGCAACTCAAGTGCCACCACCTCTATGAAGCTTTCCTTACCCACTCAGGAGAGCTGACTTTTCCCTTCTTTGTACCAATCCCTATTGTCTTATACATAGAGTGAGGTTGAACCTTAAGGGGATTAAGGTGGCAGGCAGAATCTAAAATCAGCACGAATGTACATGGTTAAAAATATCCTTGAAAATTCCTTAAATCATTTATTAAGTACAGTACACAGTTTTTTGGTTTTTGTTTGTTTGTTTGTTTGTTTGTTTTGGTGAGGAAGATCAGCCCTGAGCTAGCATCCGATGCCAATCCTCCTCTTTTTGCTGAGGAAGACTGGTCCTGGGCTAACATACGTGCCCAGCTTGCTCTACTTTATATGGGACGCCGCCGCAGCATGGCTTGACAAGTGGTGCGTCGGTGCGCGCCCAGGATCCGAACCTGCAAACCCCTGGCTGCCAAAGCAGAGCACGCGCACTTAATTGCTGCGCCACCGGGCTGGCCCCCAGCATACAGTTTTATGACTAGAATCCAGTATAATACAAATGAATGCATAAAATAACAGTGTGCAAAATATCAGCACTATTGAAACTGCCCCTCCCTTTTTGCTGAGCACAAGCACTTGAATTTGCCAACATTAACTGTATGTGTGAGGCAGCTTCATCAGGCACTACACACTCTTCTGCCACCATCTATAACTCGTCTGCTCCCCTGTGAGCTTGTATCCTGCATGTGAAAGGGCCTGACACAAATCAGTAAATGCTGGCTGGAATTATTTTCCTCCGTATCTCAGACTCTGGAGCCCCCCTTGTCTCCAGCATCCTGAATAGATGTCAAATTTCTGAAACCAGCCTACAGGGCCTGGACTTCCCTGTCCTGCCTCACGTGGCCTCTGTGACCTGAGGGACACCCACACATGATGTTAGCTCCACCCACCCAGTCACTAAGCTAGCTCCAGTTCTGAAGGTCTAGCTGCCTCCTGAACAGCGCTGGTTGTCCCATGGCCCCCTCAAACACAGCACGTCTGCCAGCTCCCATCCCTTCCACCCATGTGACGAACCTGCCCCCTTCTCTCCATTTTCTTGCCTCAGTGACTAGCACAACCACCCATACTACTGCCTAAGCCAGAAACCTGGGAGTCTAAATTCTGCTCCATCTATCCCCAAACCATCTAGTCACCAGCTCTGGTAGTCTATCTCAATATTTTTCCAATCTACATTCTTCTTTCTATTCTCACTACTACTGTTTCATCCCTTCTCACCTAGAGACTGTAAAAACCCTCCTGCTCCCAATCATATCCCTTAGATGCCTTTTCCACACTTGGAGCTTTTCAAAAATGTATACCTGATTGTATCACACCCCGCTCAACAATACTCTGCTGGTTCCCACCGCCTACCTACGAGCTGAAGTCCGCCTTAGCAGGGCACTCAAGCCCTCCATCGCCACCCCTCTCTACCTCCCCTGCACCCCTGCTTCTCCCTTTCCCCTTCACACTCAAGACACCAGGCAAACTGAATCCCTCAAATCATTCTCAAATGACCAATGCCCTTTCATTACTGGGCCTCTGTACTTGTTGCTCCTTCCGAACAATATCCTCCCTTGTCCTCAGGTACAACCAACCCTGAAGACTTCTAAGGGACCATCCTTTGCACATGAAAGACAGTCACCAGGGAGCCCGACTGTTTAACATGAAATCAGTCATCTACAAGGGCAGATGTGGCCACTCCTAAACCCCATGTCTCCCCCTCTTGGCTGTGGCCGGGAGGCTAGAGAGCAAGGATACGAGGAGAAATGGAAGTCAGCTCCCACTGCAGCAGACATCATGGCCTCCAGGCTTCGCTGCTCTTGGACCCCGAAGCAGTAGCCGTTGGCTTTATCCACAGCCTGCAGGACCCGCTGGATACTCTCCTTGTCCTGGGTGGGGAGGAGAAAAACAGCTCTATGAGTGAAATAGAAGTATGTGGAATTGAGGTTGTACCAAATTGCCTGCAGTCTCCAAACAGCCCCCTGATCTTGCCTCATGAAGCCTCTGTGCATGCAGCTTCCTTGGCCCGGAGTAGTTCCACATGTCCTCAGAGGCCTGGCTACATCCCATCTTTCCTGCCCATCAACCCACCCACATTAGAACAGATAAGTTCCTCTATGCACACCCATCGTACCCTGGGTTTACCCCTAATGCAGCTGTGATCCTACCATCTTACTAACAAGTTATTAACTCATCTGCTTCCCCTACTCGATTGTGCACCCTCTGAGGTCAGGGACTCATTTCTCGAGGTAGCCCCAGTGCCCAGCACAGAACTTTGCTAAGAGCAGGCACCCAATAAATATGCATGTAACCTCTTTGCTCATCCACATCAAAGTGCTAAGAACAGTCCATACATCACACGATGAGAAGACGACAGCAAAATAAGACATGGACAGTTCTTGGCACACTGCTCAGCAGAGAAAGCCTTCAAGAAGTGGTAGCTGTTATGATTAATATTATAGAGAGTTCACCCTCTCATTTTAGAGAAAAGTGTGGCATTAAAAAGGGAAGAGATAGGGCCGGCCCCGTGGCGTAGCGGTTAAGTGCGCGTGCTCCACTGCTGGCGGCCTGCGTTCGGATCCCGGGTGCGCACCGATGCACCACTTCTCCGGCCATGCTGAGGCCGTGCCCCACATACAGCAACTAGAAGGATGTGCAGCTATGAGATACAACTATCTACTGGGGCTTTGGGGGAAAAAAAAAATAAATAAATAAAATCTTTAAAAAAAATAGAAATAAAAAAATAAAAAAAAAGGGAAGAGATAGGTTCGCTCAAGTCCACTCACTGCAGAAAGGCCTCTAACATGCACCTGTGTCTCCCAGGTTACCTTTGCAGGACGCAAGGTGGGAGGTACAGGGGTTGGGTACCACTTTGCAAAGTCAATAGGCAGTTGTCCATCTTAAAGGAGCCTGAAAGACTTGCCCCTCGCCTTGATCAAGTCCCTTGCTAGCGACTTTCTGAACTCATCCATTTTCACACTGAGGAGGGAATGTGTGTAGACAGAACCCAGCAATACAGAATAGATAAGGCCCAAGTTTGGTCCACCTTCTTCACTGGAACCCTGCCCACCACAGCCCCTGGTCCCAAAACCAAGGGGCCCCAATGATAGTCGAACCAAGGACAAAGACCACTGTTTGAGCCCTCAAAGCCTCCTGTACCCTTGGCTTGGTGAGTTCCCAGGTACTGTCAGAGCCTATAGCCAAGGGAAGAGGCCTCTTAGTCCCCAGTACCTGGATGTTGAGAGGGATGAAGGAAACCAGGCTGTAGTCTTCGATGAGCTGCACCAGTTTCTCATTGAGCTGACGGTAGTGGCGGAAGAAAGGGTCAGAAGCCAGGTGGTCAAGCAGGTAGGAGAGGTCCAGGACCTCTGTGTAGTAGTCCAAATTGAAGGCTAAGGAGAGAAACCAGTGCTCAGGAGCAGCTGGCATCAGGCTAAAGACACAAGGACAGGGACCATATTTTCTTTCCTTCTTCCTTTGCCTTCATTCAATCATTAATTCAACAAATATTTGTTGAGACAGTGAAACGAAGTTACTAAGAAAAAACACTTGGTTCTGCCATTTACCAGCTATATAGCCAGGTACCCACCTCATGGGGCTCTTGCAAGGATTAGATGTTATAAACCCCAGTGCCTGATACAGAGAAGTCCTTGATCAATGGTAGTAAATAACGATATCGAACATGCAGCAAGAACACTGCTCGGTCCCCTCCTCATGAAGCTCAGCCAGGGAGTACCCCCAGGAGCCAGCATATACGTTGTAAGGACTCTGTAAATGCTGGTGATACTGAGTGAATGCTACATTCTAGCAGGCTGGCCTCGTGGGTAAATCACTTTCCCTTTCTGGGCCAGTTCCTTCTTCATGTAAAATGAGGAGACCAGACTAGATGACTCGGAGGTTCCTGACTCAGTTCTATAAATACAAACTTCCCACTAAAAGAAGGAAAGTGGGCCTCTCTGCACTATCTATTTCTGCCTGGAAAACTCAAGCAATTGGGCTACTCAGCAGGTCTGTTCCAAAGTGAGCTAAGGGAATCAGGCTGTTGGATATCAACTCACTCCCTGCCTCCTGCGTTCTAATCAGCTCTAAATAGAAAGTGACACCCTGGGCCTACAAGGAAGAATGTCCTGGGCATTCCGACAAACTTCTTGGATCGCCTGACAGGTATGTTTCTTACCAAGAATTAAGAAACTGGAGCCAGGTACACTTGGGTTTAGACTTCACCTCAGCTAACATACTAGCTGTGTGACTAACCTTGGGCTCTTCAAGTAATGTCTTTGGGACTCAACTGCCTCATCTGGTTTACACCTCAGTCTCCTGTGAGGATGACCGGCAAGAGTCAGAGCTAGAAAGGTCGAGGACCATAAAGCAGCCACCTGGGCTGGAGGCTGTGAAGGGGGACAGGGGCTTCAGAGGACTGCACATCCGGACCTAGATAAAATGGGGCCTCTGGGCTTGTCAAGAGATGGATCAGGACTCTGGGCTGAGGCGTCCCCTCCATGTCCTGACTGGCAGCCAGTCGGCCTCCTTGGACAAGGCCCCTGACATGTTACTCCCCCCACAACCTCCCTTCCTACTCACGGCTGGTCATTTTGGCTGTTCTTCCCTAGGTTTCTCTGTGGCTGGAGATGCTATTTACGGAACTAAATGCCCCCAGCTCAGTAGAGCACTAACTTTGCATGAAAAAATGCTGGCCACTGGGCCCCTAGGCAACTCCCCTGCCTTGTACCAGTCTGCTTCTCCTTCAATCTTCCTCACCTCAACAAATGGCATCCTCATCCGTTCCCTCGCTCAGTTAGAAACCTGAGAGTCATCCTTACTTCCTCTGTCTCCTCGTCCAATCCACTAACAAATCCTACTTCTTGGCTAAGTTTTGAGTCTATCTACTTCTGTCTACTTCCACTATCACTGCTTGCGCTCCTGCAAAAACCTGAAGGATCTCTGTCTTTGTTCTCACCCATTTCAATTCATTCTCCACAAAGCAGCCAGAATGACCTTTTCAGTTCATGCTATTCCCTTGCTTAATATTCATCACTGGTTTTCCTCTGGGTTTCAATAGTACAGGTTCTGGCCCCCACCCACCTCTCTGACCTCACTTCCTACCATCCTTCCCCTGACCACTATCCCAGCTACCCTGGGCTCCCCCCCTCCCCTTTTCCTTGAACATAAAAAGCTCTTTCCCTACGGGCCTTTACCTCTACCAGTCCCTCTGCCTAGACTAGTTCTCCCTTAGCTGGCTCCTTCTCACCATTTGGGTCTCAGCTCAGATGGCAGTGCTCATTCCCCACTCCCAACCACTCACTGTCCCATCACTTTAATTCCTTCGTAATACATATCACCATCCGTAGCTCCCTTGTCCCCCAAACCCAGAACAGTATCTGGCACAGAGTGGCACAAAATAAACGGGCAAGGGTCAGGACCTGTCTGTGGCTACTATCACCAGGCCATGCATGTCCCTGGAGCCCACTTCCTTCAGCTGAGATCTCTGCTTCACTCTGGCCCAGCCACTGCCCTACTCCTTGCCTGCCCAGAAGAGGAACTCTTACCCAGCTTCCCATAGTGCTCAATGAGGTCCATCTTGGAGAGGAGGTTGACGTGGGGCAGCTCCACGTGCAGCATGGTGGCCAGGGAGGTACATAGTACCGAAATGAACTTGGCTGGGTCTGTGCAGTAGTGAGAATCCACAAGGTGGACAGCAGTCAGCTGGGAGGGGAGAAAGAGACGGGGTGAGAGTGGCCTGGGGAGGCAGGGACCATTAGGGCCTATGTCTCCCCCATCAGATCGGGGACTTCTGAGGATAGAGTGCAAGCCCTCCCCATTAGTCGTCTCCTGCTTCTGTTTCATTCTAACAGCCACACTCATTTCCTTCTCCTAAGAGATAACGGGGCATTTTTTTCTTACATGATGCCTTGCACTGAGCCTCCCAGGGGGCAAATGTTCAATTCCCACTGCATCTTTTTTTGTGTGTGTGTGTGAGGAAGGTCAGCCCTGAGCTAACATCCGTGCTAATCCTCCTCTTTTCACTGAGGCACACCGGCTCTGAGCTAACATCTATTGCCAATCCTCCTCCTTTTTTTTGTCCCCCAAAGCCCCAGTAGATAGTTCTATGTCATAGTTGCAAATCCTTCTAGTTGTTGTTATGTGGGCAGTGCGTTGGTGCGCGCCTGGGATCCCAACCCAGGCCACCAGCAGCGGAGGGCGCACACTTAACCGCTAAGCCATGGGGCCGCCCGTAATTCCCACTGCACCTAACTCTATTCTTTCACTTGCTTTTGCCCACCAAGTCACAACAACAATCACCATGCCATTTTCCACATAACCTCTTCCACTCTTCTAATAATCCCAAGTTGGGTACCAGCACGTCCATTTTACACATGAGAAAACTAAGGTTCATAGAAATAATCTGATCTATCCAAGACCACACAGCGAGTCAGTGGCAGAGCCAGAATTCAAACTCACACCTATTTTACTGCAAAGCAACTCGGCCCCTACCTCGCTATGTAACTTGGGGGCGTGGTATCTGTCCTTCTCTCTGTCTCAGTTCCTCCATCTGCAAAGTGGGCCTGCCAGACCTGAGACGCACCCTGAGGTCCCACTGTGCCATCTGGGAGAAGATGTTGCGCAGGGCGCCGTGATGCGTGCAGAGCTCCACCTGGCCTGGGCAGTCGAAGAGGAAGTAGTGGCCGCGGAGGGGGTCGAGCTTTGCTCGCAGCCAGTCCAGGTTGGCCTCCAGGTACTCCATGCAGTAGAGCAGGCCGCCATTGGGCCCCAGCCGCAACGCGTCCATCACGTCGCCCAGCCCCACCAGCTCGCCCACGTCCACGGCGCACTCGTACGGCAGCCCCTCGTTGGCCGGGTCCAGGTTCACCACCGCCACGCGCCGGCCCAGCGCGCGCAAGAACTCACTCATGCCCAGGCAGTACGTGGTCTTCCCCGAGCCCGGCGGGCCGATGACCGCCTGCCCAAAGGCCGTGGTCGGAGCGGCCCCCGCCATGGGCCGCACGTGAGCTCCGTGGGGAAACGGAGGGCACTCGCGCCAGAGCCTAGAGCGAGGAACTTCCGGGGAGCCGGCGGCGAGGCCCGGGGTCGCCTAACGAGGAACAGCAGGAAGACACGGAACGCGAAGGGCCCGGTACTGACAGGACCAGCACCGACTTCCGGACGACGTCGGAAACGGCGGCGCGCGGAGCAAGCCCCGCCCCGGCCGTGGTGACGCAGCTAGGCGCCGGGGGGCGTGGCGCCGCGTGTCTCCCCCAGCGAGGGAAGGGCCGGCTGTGCGGAACTTGTCCCCGGGATTTCCCCGACCTTCCTCCCGGCCCAAAACAGGAGAGAAAGAGAAATCCCGTGGAAACCTTTATCGTCCCGTTAGGTCGCAGACCCAACCACCTCCCGCGGACTCTCCGGACCCAGGCGGTTAAGGGTAGAGGCGTTGGAGGGCCCGCCCCCAAATCGTCTCTTCCCAGCCCCACAAACCTCTCCTTCCCCAGGTCCCTTCCCCCGCCTTTCTGGCCTTCATGGTGACCCTCCAAGGAAGGCTGTGCTGATAACCACAGTCAGTCCAGCTTCTCAAGGTATTGGGGGAGGCCACGGGCAAGCCTAAACAGGAACTAGGCTTAGGAGACCAAAGAGAAGACGTCATTAAGCCCTAATATCAAAGGGCAGAGGGGTAGGAGGGCTTTTTGTAAAAATGCCCTTGAGGTAGAGAGCCTAAAGGCAAGTTCAGAACAAAACACCCTGAACAAGTCCTGCAGGTTGCTGCTCCCAGAGTTCTTTCTGCTCTGGTGGGAGATCTGGCAGGGGGCTGCCACTGTGCAGTAATGAATGATCCTAACTAAGGAAGCCCCTGAATCTGTCACTCAGGCTTTGAGTTGCTGTCCAAGGCACAACTGGAACCCCTCACAAAGGCCATGTCTGTCCGAAACTTCATGCTGGTGGGTGGCTGGCGGCGAAGCAGCGACTCCCCTTGGTCCTGGGGTAGGGGCTCATCATAGATGGTGGAGATGAGCCCCAAGCCAGTTCCACAGGGCCTCTTCAGTTGCACAAATGGCTGTAGCTTCTCTCCATGGTACCTGGATTAGAAAGGGCTCTCAGTGAGAGGGCTGCTCTCTCTCAAACCCCAGTAAGGGGACTGGGAAAGGACAGGGAAGTAGCTACTACATACTAGGTTTGTCTCAAAGACAGAGCTTTAAATCTGGATCTTTGTTCTCCAGCCCCCTTATCCATCCATTGACAGTGCTAGCAACCAGGGGCCTCACACACTGCTTTTGTTTTAAATAGTACACAAAGTTTAGAACAAATGTCACCACTCTGTAACTCACAGTCACTGCCTACTGGCAATTATCAAGTCGAAACTCCTCAGACTAGGGGGAACGACTCCCTCAGGAGATCCATGGTCCAGTCAAGCCTTAGGGTTTGGTCTAAAAAAAACCAGCGCCAGACCTACTTTTTCCTTCTAACTCTACTTTGAAGTTCATCCTGAGTCCCCAGCACCCATCCCAAAACCAGAGAGAAGGGAGAAACTAGGGTACAGCTGAAAGGCTAGCTTAGACCCCCAGCAAAGTCCCTCAGCCATACTCACCCCAATCCACGCTTGCATCTGGGGTGCTGGCCATCACTATCCAGGGCCTCGGGCACCCCTGAGCCCCGGCTCCCCAGGCCCTGGCCTTCGGCCCAGCCCTGCTGCTCCATCACCTTCCGCCCAATGCCCTGCAGAGGGGAGGGAGAAGACTCAAGAGACAGGGCTCCTGCGGGGGGGGGCGGGAGAGAAGGAATAAGGGTAGAAAAGGAAAAAAGAGGGGTCAATGGGCTGGGCACAGTGCTCACCTTGGTGTGGCGCTCAAAGGTGCCCACCTGGCGTTCGATCATGGAGCCGTCCTCCTGGCCATCACGGAGTCTCCGTTCCAGACGCATTTGGACAGAGTCTCGGGCATCCTTGTCTCCACCACCTGAGGAAGCAGAGCCCAGTTTTTGGAAGGGTCTCTCTTCAGCAGAAAGGGGGAAAATCAGGTTTCTAGGACCTCCTCACAAGATTTACATATTCATCTTTATAGTGTTTTATTACTTTATTTTTATCTCTCTCATTAGACTTGGAGCATGCCAAGCTTGCCATGGCTCTCCCATCTTACAGATGAGGAAACTGTGGTGCAGAAAAATCATAGAGCCAACAAATGAGAGACAGAATTAGAACCCAGGTCTTCCCCTCCCACCCCCTATGTCCCCCCAGGTCATTTTTGACAGCAGGATCTAAACTCTTAACCAGAGCCTGAGCTCCTGACCCTCCCACTCTACCAGGGCCTGCCCAGCAGAACCAGAGCTCCCTGAGGGCTGTCCCTAGTCAGCTTCCTCCACAAAGAAAGGAAAAAGGCTCTGTCCACACCAGCACTCAATGCACTCAACTAGAGATGTTTTAAGAGAGGAATGCTCTCAGTGGGCTACACCAAGGGAACTGGTCCCCTGTCTCAGCCTCTGCTAAGCAGCTCTGGTAAAGTGTCACCGCAAGGCCAGGGCACCAGTTCCACGTCCCAGTACTGCAACCCCTGGCCCAGTACCTCTGTTGTAGTAAACACTCATGTCCACATCCCAGTCATCGGCTGTCTGTTCATCAAAGTCTGCAGATATGAAAGCATCAAGCAAAGTGAGATAAGGACTCAGTTCTGTTGAGAGTTAAATCCAGACTCAGACATTCATTCTAGAACTTGTGGCTTTTGATTGTATTTGTAAATCTCCTCTGGGAGGGTCATTCAGAATTTGCAGGAGGGCATTTTCTCTCCACTCCACTGATCCCCCACCCCTAAAAAGGATGACTGGTCTTTCATATACAATCAAAGTAAGCCTCTTCCCTAGCGCTTTATTTAGGCTCACTGCCAGGGAAGCCACCATGTGGAACAGACAGTCCTGAGCGAATGCAGCAGGGATCCCTCCTGCCCTTGCCTGGGTGCCAGCATTACCTCCTTCTTCCTCCTGCCAGAACTGGGCATCAGTGTAGAACACCAGGCCGGAGCCGCCCTTCTCCCACTTGAGCTCAATCTCCTCCTCAAAGAGCCGCTCAGTGGTACGCTCCTGCCCGGTCACGTCCTCATGCAGGGCTTCATGCCGCTCCCACTCCTCACCCTGGTCATCGTCCTGGGAGAAGGTGGGGAGAGGTGACCTGTCTGTCTAGCTTCTTGGCCTCATGCCCACAAGGAGGGCAGCTCAAGGCACAGGAGGCCTGTGAGATGGGCCCTCAGCTCCATTCCTCCAAATTTCTCTGAGAAGCAGCACATATTTGGCCCTTGAGGCCTTAACCAACACATCTCTCCATCCTGTTTCTCAACATACTTGGCTCCTTCCCCTCACAAGCCTGACTCACTCTTCTCTCTGTGCTTTTGGCCATGTTGTTCCCCCTGCCCGAAGCATCTGCCCTCCTCTCCCACCACCTTCTCTTCTTCACTTGCTTAAATCCTCCTCATCCCTCCAGTTCTACAGCCTACATGAAGCCCCCCACACTGAGGCCCACAGCACTCTCACTTGTCTCTGAACTTCTCAGTGCTAATCAGTACACACTGTTTAGGCCTTTATACATTATGTCACAAAGACAGAAGGAACAAGAACTAATATCTATTGTCTACTGTGTGTCAGGCCCTTCACATAACAGCTTTTTTAATCACCCCAACAATGCGTGAAGTACCATTGTTTCCATTCTACAGATGAAGAAACCTGGGTTCAGAGGAGTAAAGTGATTTGTCCAAGATAGTACACCCAGAGAGTGGCAGAGCTAGCATTCAAACCTGGGTTGCCACACCATACAGCCTTTCCAGTTGCTGGTTCTCTCTCTCCAAGGAGATTTAAGGCTCTTTGAGGGCAGGAAATAGGTCTTAGAATGTCTTTGGAATCCTGCACTAGCCCGTGTTTACCACTGCTTGACTGGACTTGCGGAATGATAGGATGAGTCCTGGCTTGAAATCCTGGGGGCCCCTATCCTGGTTAAACTCCAAGAGGCCTCGGGACTCACTGCTGCAGAGCAGGTGCTGGAGAAAAGTCAGGACAGTACCAGACTAAGGATGTAGTCCAGATGTGTTAGCAACTCTGGACTGGGAGCTTTGAAGACATAGGTGGATTACTTTTTACCCAGAGTATACATAAAACAAAAGTTTCCCAACAAATCACATCTCTCCTGATTTTTATGGATGAACAACCAAGTACAGAGAAAGGAGTAGAAGAAATGTTTACGGCCACGCGTTGCTTAACAGGGATACATTCTGAGAAACGTGTCGTTAGGCAATTTTGTCGTGCGAACCTCACAGAGTGTACTTACACAAACCTAGAGGGTATAGCCTACTATGCATCTAGGTTATATGGTACTAATTTCACGGGACCACTGTGGTATATGCGGTCCGTCATTGACCGAAATGTCGTTATGTGCTGCATGACTGTAGTTCACTGATAAAATCCACAGACTCAAACTCAGAAAATAGAGATGACTTCTCAGCCATGTAACGAAAGCACACAGAGGTTAGACAAGCAGCAAAGAGGACTGGATTCACATCCCAGCTTTGCCTCTACTTCCTTAGATTATCTTATCTCACGGTTGGTAGATTTTCATCTATGAAAAGGAGCCTCCTTACATTCCTTCTGAGGGAATGAAAAGAAGAGCCCTTTGAGAATCTGCTGATAAAAGTTCTGGCCCCTCTCCCCAAAGACACGCATATTTGCACATGTAAATGCAGTTTTACACTCAATGTCAGGGAGTTCTAACTCTCTGGAACCCTCCTGAGGACCCGAGGTTTAGAACTCTTGTATATACAGCTGAAGAGTGGTATTATTAATGCTTTGGCCTCTAAGCTGCCAGCAAGGACAGGGTGGCTCACTGTACTCACGTCATCTGAGTGCCACTCTTCTTCCTCCTTTTCCCCTTCCTCCTCGGGCTCTCCACAGGGGCTGGCTGGTATGTCTGCCATGCAGGTTCCCTGGGGTATTTCCTCGCCCTCGGCGGTGTACACAAGCTCTTCCTGCTCCACAGTCTCTGAGTCCTCATACTTGAAGGGCACATTGCCATAGCGCCGGGAGGAACCTGTCTTGGGGAACTGGAGCTGCAGCTGGGTGATGATCCGAGCGGGTAGGCGGCAGGCCCGGATCAACTCCAAAAAGACCCCCAGGGGAGTCCCCACATTCCCATTGGGCATCAGCACTGGTGGATTCAGCTCTGGTAGTTGCCTCAGGTCGGCCAGGGTGAAGGCTTCATTCTTAGCCTTCCGACTCTGCAGCTCCTTCCGGGTCTTGAAGGGAAAGGAGCCCAAACCTTGGGAAGCAAGGGAGAAGAATGGCTCTTGAAACCTAGACGCCTCCAGCAACACCTGAGCCAGAAATCCGTCAAGGTTTAAATCCTTGAGCCTAATGCTGTTCCTCCCTTTCAAACTTCTCCAGAGTCCCTTCCTCCATTCCTTGACCAGATCACCCAGTAATTTTATGCCATTTCTCATCACCTCAGCTAAGCACACAAGCTTCTTCCAGATCTGGTTCCTGTTGACCTTTTAATTCTCAACTGCTACCAACACTCACACCATGTGCTCCAACCAAACCAGTTTAACATGCCCTGAAAGTTTTATGGGCTTTCACATCTCTGTGTCTTTGCACATGCCATTTACTTTGAACACTATTTTTTCCTACAAGCTCCTGTTTATCCTTCAAGATCCAGGTGAAAAGCCACATTTTCTGATCCCTCTAGGGAACTGGTTTCTCTCTCTGTCATCTCACAGCACTTGGTGATAAAGAGCAAAGGCTCTGGAGCAAAATGCCTGGGTTTGTATGGTGACTCCGCTACTTACTAGCTCTGTAACCTTGGAGAAGTAACATAACTTCTGCATCCCTCAGTTTCCTCACCTATAAAATGGGTAAGAATAGGGCCGGACCCGTGGCTTAGCAGTTAAGTGCTCGCGCTCCGCTGCTGGCGGCCCGGGTTCGGATCCCGGGCGCGCACCAATGCACTGCTTCTCCGGCCATGCTGGGGCCGAGTCCCACATACAGCAACTGGAAGGCTGTGCAACTATGACATACAACTATCTACTGGGGCTTTGGGGGAAAAAATAAATAAACAAATAACGTTATAAAAAAAAATAAATAAATAAAATAAATAAAATGGGTAAGAATAGCTCCTACCTTAGAGAACTGTTGTGAGGAGTCAATAAGGAAATGAAAAGCCTAGAACAGTGCCTAGTAAGTACACAGGAACTGCTCAGTAAATGTTAACAATTAGAATGGCATCTTGGGCCGGCCCCGTGGCTTAACGGTTAGGTGCGCACGCTTCACTACTGGCGGCCTGGGTTCGGATCCCGGGCGTGCACCGACGCACTGCTTCTCCGGCCATGCTGAGGCCGTATCCCACATACAGCAACTAGAAGGATGTGCAGCTATGACACACAACTATCTACTGGGGCTTTGGAGGAAAAATAAATTAAAAAAAAAAAAAAGTTAAAAAAAAAAAAAAGAATGGCATCTCTGTGACAATTACCTCTTTACAAATCTGTCTTCCCCTCTGGATTCTGAGCACAGACTGCGTCCAACTGTTCTCTGCATACCAGCTAGAGTCACACTAGGTCTAGCAACAAAAGCTAGATTTATTGAATGAATGAATGACAGGGCTCTGCACTGTGTTTCCTGTTCCCCATCAAAGTGATTTCCCATGAAAATGGGAGCTGTTGTGAGAAAAGACAGCGTCTCTTCATTTGCATCTTGCCAAGAGAAGACTGGGTGGTGAGCAACAAAGAGTGCAATAAAGAAGGACAATAAGACTACACAGAAATCGGAATATAATGACGTACATCTGAAATTTATATCGTGGGAGATCAAAATTGGCCACCCTGAAATATATCTCTTTACCTTGATTGTTTTCTCTGACGGACATTTGACCTCCCCCAAACTGCCTAAAGGAATTTAACTCTGGGTGTAGATAGGCTGGCAGGGTCCTCGCTAAGCCCATTCTAAACAAAGTTCTGTTTACCAAATATTTACATTTGTAAAGGTATCTCCCTCTATGTAGTGGGAAGAGCAGGGGATGACCTTATCTGTGAAAACTCTTATCAGGACGGAAGAAGAAGACTTAAATCTACATACTTTTGATTACTATAATTCCTGTCTCTCCAGCCACATTCTCTATAGGTAGCCATGCAAAGCATTGTCTGACAAATATTTACATTTCCCTCTTCATGTAAATTGTCTTCTTCCCCTCTGAAATCCCAAAACACAACCCACCCCCAACATCCTCCTTTGTCTTTAGCTTAAGATAGTATTTAAGATGAGAATCTCTGCCATTGTGTTGAGAAACTCAGTTTCCCAGGTTTCTCCCTTGTACGCATGTTATTAAACTTGGTATTATTTTCTCCTGCGAACCTGTCTTCTTAATTATTTGGCCAGCGAGAAGAACCTTAAGGGAAAGGGCAGAGGGGGGGATTCTCCCTCTTTCCCGGCAATATCATGTTATAAAGCAGTGTTACCTCCGTAATAAAAAAAAAAAAAGACAATAAGATTTTTAGAAACTTGATTTCCTTTTTTCCCTTCTGTGTCAGTGCAAAATCAACCCCTCAGAGAAAAGGGTCTCAGGCGGGAGAAGATCATCTGAATAAGCCTCTTTCTGGTTTTGTTTCTCCCTGAGGTAAACTAATGTGCAAGTTGAGCTTGAAGCTCTATCCAGAAATGACCGAAACTAAAGACTCGTAACCAGAGACGTGACTTGTCCTCATCATCCCTCAGGAGAGATGCCTCTGTTCCAGGGCCCGGAGGCTCAGTTTATTGTCTTTCTCACCCGTACCTGATGCCTCAGTAGGTAGCCGAAGCCTGCGGATGACACAACGACCCGGCAACCAAGTCCCTTGAGAATCCAGCCACCGGCGGCCCGAGTACATGCGAAGAAGCCTCTGAGCTTGAGCCGCTCCCTGTACCGAGATGACGCAGCAGCAGGTGCGGGTCTGGGAGGGGGCAGAGTGCCGACTGGAGAGAGCGCGGGCATCGGTGACTGAAGTCTGGGCGAGAACCTGGCCAGTAGGAGTTTGGGTAGAGTCAGGAGCAGCCTGGGGAGGGGCCCGCTCCGGCCGATGCCGGTAGTGGAAACAGAGAAAGCCACAGCCGCGCTGTTCCCGGAATTGGCTAAAGTAGCTCCGTAGCTGGGCAGAGCGCAACTGCGAGGGTATACCGCTCACTATTAAGTAAACTTCTGCCTCTTTCTCCGCCTCGCTGGGCACCGCCATCTTGGGTTGTCACATGATCAGCTGGAACCAACTCTCGCGAGAACATCTCGAGTAGCCCGGAGTTGTGCGCGTTGCGACAGTACTGTGTAACCGGTGGTTAGTCCGCCGGGGTTATGGAAGTGCAACGTCTGGAAGATGTTGTTCCGGTCCCTTTCCCACAGAGAGAAGCCTGCAATGATGGAAAAACTCACCTGAGAAATGGGGTTACAGAGCCTTTCATAAGGATCTAAAGAGGATCAAATTAGAAGCTTCGGGAGGGGCAGTTTTTAAGATTGTTAGTTGTTGGGGATCTCCCAAACCTAATCTCAGTTCATAGCTTTTCAGTCGTTCATCGGTTTATTCTTACAAAACGTATTGGTGAACTCCCACAAATCAGTAAGAAAAAGATAAACAACCCATTTGAAAAGTGGGGCGAAGCCATTTCACAGAAGAGAAACACGTCGAATTAACAATGAAAGATGCTCAGTCTCATTAATAATCAAGGAAATGCGATGAGACCCACTTCACGTCCGCCAGATTGGCAAACATTTTGAAATCCTCAAGTGTCGGTGAAGGTATGGAGCAACTGGAGCTCCCATACAGTTGGTAGAAGTGTAGACTGGTACTTTGGAAAACAATTTGACATCGCCCAGTAAAAGTGAAACTACACATATCCTTTTGTTTGTTTGTTTGTTTATTGTGAAATTTTTGTTGTACATTATTGTTTATCAGTCACCATATAAGTGCATCCCTCCACCCCTTGTGCCCACCCCCCACCCCCCTAGCCCCTGGTAACCACCAAACAATTCTATCTGTGCGTGTGTTGGTTCATCTTCCACATATGAGTGAAATCATGCCCTGCTTGTCTTTATCTTTCTGGCTTATTTCACTTCACATAATACCCTCCAGGTCCATCCATGTTGTTGCAAATGGGACGATTTTGTCTGTCTTTATGGCTGAGTAGCATCCATGGTATATACGTACCACGTCTTTATCCATTCATCAGTTGAGGGACACTTTGGTTGCTTCCATGTCTTGGCTATAGTGAATAATACTGCGATGAACATATGGGTGCATGAGCCTCTTTGGATTGTTGATTTTAGGTTCGTTGGGTAGATACCCAGCAGTGGGATAGGTGGATCATAAGGTATTTCTATTTTTAATTTTTTGATGAATCTCCATACTGTTTTCCATAGAGTCTACACCAGTTTGCATTCCCACCAGCAGTAGATTAGGGTTCCCGTTTCTCCACAGCCTCTCCAGCATTTGTTGCTTTTTGTCTTGGTGGTTATAGCCATTCTAACGGGTGTAAGGTGATATCTTAGTGTGGTTTTGATTTGCATTTCCCTGATGACTAGTGATGTTGAGCGTCTTTTCATGTGCATATTGGCCATTTGTATATCTTCTTTGGAGAAGTGTCTGTTCATTTCCTCTGCCCATTTTTTGATTGGTTTGTTTGTTTTTTTGTTATTCAATTGTGTGAGTTCTTTATGTATTATGGAGATTAATCCCTTGTCAGATATATGGTTTGCAAATATTTTTTCCCAGCTGGTGGGTTCCCTATTCATTTTTTTTTTTTTAAAAGATTTTATTTATTCAGTTTTTTTCCCCCCAAAGCCCCAGCAGACAGTTGTATGTCATAGGTTCACATCCTTTTAGTTGCTGTACGTGGGACTCGGCCTCACGTTGGACGGAGAAGTGGTGCCTCGGGGCGCTTCCGGGATCCGAACCCAGGCCGCCAGCATCAGAGTGCGCGCACTTAACCGCTAAGCCACGGAGCCGGCCCTCCCTATTCATTTTGATCCCGGTTTCATTTGCCTTAAACTACACATATCTTTTGACCCACCAATTCCACTTCTGGATATATACTTTAAAGAAATTCTTGCATATGTTTATCAGGAAATGTACTGACAGTGTTGAACTTTAGCTAAGCCCTGTGATCCTGGAAAAGAGCCAAGGTTAGGAAACCCCTCCCACCTTTTTGTGTTCTGGAACACAGATTACTGTAAAGAAACACCCTGCATGATATGACTTAGATAAAACTCATGGGTGCCCCCTTGTTTACCCATGACAAGGCTAGACACAAACTCCAAATTCCAATTCTCTGCCTTGAAAACGCGTAGATGAACTGCTTGTCCCCACTGATCAATCAGAACAAAATACTTGTTAACCAAACTTTCGTTGAGCTTTCTTTCCCCCAGGTCCCTGAACTTTGCGCCCCCTGCCCCTCCCACTCAGCTTGAGCCAGCGCACAACCCCTCCTTAATAGCCTCTCCTGAGAAAAGGCTGGCCTCAAGGGAAAACATTCTCTGATCTACTGTCCCATCGTGCCACCCCTGGTCATCCCACTTCCGCACACCCAGTTCTTTCTAGCCTTGTTTATACCTCCCTATGAAAGAAAAACTCTCTTTGCCTAATTCTTGAGACATGTGCAGGTCTTATGGGCAGAGCGTCCTCCCATTGCAACAGCTTCTCTCTCCGTACTGCAATAGTTCCTTTCCTCCCTTGCAACAATCGTTTCAAGTAAAGTCTCTCTTTACTAAGTCCAGATGTTTTTTATTTGACAGTATATATGAATATTCATAACTGCAGTGTTTGTAAGAGAAAAAAATTGGCATTTAGTACTATTATTCAGGTACATTATGTTGATTGAAAATAAGCAAGTCAGGGGCCGGCCCCATGGCTTAGCGGTTAAGTGGGCGCGCTCCGCTGCTGGTGGCCCGGGTTCAGATCCCAGGCGCGCACCGACGCACCACTTCTCCGGCCATGCTGAGGCCGCGTCCCACATACAACAACTAGAAGGATGTGCAGCTATGGCGTACAACTATCTACTGGGGCTTTGGGGAAAAAAAAATAAATAAATAAAATTATTAAAAAAGAAAATAAGTCAGAAAACAGAATTATTCCATTTATATAAAGTTCAAAAAATACAAACTAAAAAATATTTTTTAGGGACACATAAATAAGTATGCTTTAAAACCATAAAGAAAAGTAAAGAAGTGATTCATCCAAAATTCAGGGTAGTTATTAATTCAGAGTTGTTATTACCCTTAGGGAGAGGTGATAGATTTAGAAAGGACTTCAAAGTTGATGGTAATAATGATCTAGAGAACAATGATGAGGGTTCATTGTACTGTTATTCTTTATACTTTATGTATTCTTTATAAATATTTTGTTTTACTCAATATTTAATAAAAAACATCTTAAAAGGGAAAATAACTCATATTTCAAAAAGCAATAAAGCAAGTGGTTACTTTGTGGTGATCACAAATATACATCTATTTGAGAAATAAAAAAATAAAAACAGTTCTAATGAGCATCTGGGTAATTGTGGATAAGGACAGTGTTATATCTGGATTTTAAAATCTGCTAATGGAAGTGTAGATTGGTACAACCACTTTGAAAAACTGGCAAGATCTACTCAAGTTGAGCACACATTCTTTTTTTTTTTTTTAATAATTTTATTTATTTATTTTTTCCCCCAAAGCCCCAGTAGATAGTTGTATGTCATAGCTGCACATCCTTCTAGTTGCTGTATGTGGGACGC